CCGCCCCCCCCCCCCCGCAATACAAAATTGCTTCCTACAGTAGTGGATATCCTTGACATTTTATGGTACCAATTCGATTATTGATTTGATGTTGTCCGAGAAATTCTTCAAAGTTCCTCACTTATATTTACCTTTCTATTCTTCTTTACCGCGTTAATCTGTGATAATATCAGCCCCTCGACGACTCTGATCGTTTGTTTATAACCATATTAACTGTTTAAGCCAGGTTCACACTGGTTGTAATTAATTGTATTCTTTTCCGACAGACAAAGCATTTTACACACCAATGACTACAGACAATGGAAATCCCGGATTCTTACGACCAGTGTGAACCAGGCATTAATATTAACCGATAAACGTTTGTTTACAACCAATTAACAACTCAGATGCCTAGCTACTATTGTTCAAGTTTACAGAAACATTAAGAATAGAACAAAGGTGACTATTCCTTAGAAAGTTAGGATTATCTACTGACTACATGAGTGAATAGCTCGTATACATGATTCTAATACTAATCATTATATGATTCTGTAAACTAAAACAATATCAACTAGGCATGTGAGTTATCTGTGAATTAAGTAGCACGGCTGTAGCAAGGACAAAACAAAGTAACACCCTATCCTGAGCATCTCTTCTCACGGGTTTAGTGCCCTCGGCCAAGGTTTCTTTTCTAAATAATATACAATATCTTTCCATCTCATGATCATGCTCTTTTTCTAAATTGTAAGTGTTTGCCGTCCTTGCATTGAAAATATCCATGTCTTGATGCTCACTTGACTGGATGGGTATTTTCTCTACTACCAATTCAACGTACCTGTCAAACACATTCTCCAGCTGCTGCTCTATATCCTGCAGGAGGGACATTGAAACAGAGCAATGAAAAAAGCCGAAATTGAGGCTTGCTTTTTCAGCACTATTTATCATTTATAGACCGTCTGCTCGGGGTATTCGGCAAAATATTACCCGAAATGATGATATTCGGCGAAATATTACCCGAAGTGATGATATCATCACTTTGGGTAATATTTCACCGAATCCCCCGAGCGGGGGGTCTATAAATGATCTATTATACCGAAAATTAAACGTCTTGAGATTAAATTGAGATTATAAAACTTGGCAACTTGCCACATATACCTTCGTGAATACGATGACGATGTTTCATTTCTTATTAACACAAGTATTTGTCACTTTTATTTCGAATCACATATCATTTGGAATATTATTGATAACATTTTCAAAAAATTGCTTCATAATTAAAAAAAACAACTTTCTTTGAAGTTTGAAAACTTAATAATTCACCACTTCGTAATATCCTTGGTATATTTTGTCGGCCGGCCATCAAATCACCTGTACATGTGATATGATTGAAATCACCCGCTACGTCAAATACGATGACGTAAGGCGTGATTCGATGACAAATTTCATACTCACGTGGCACAAACGTAGCTTTCTGATTGGACACTTTGAATTTGAGGTATAGTATAGACGGATATCCCACGCCTGGGCAGTACTGATCTGATTTCTGAACGTACCATAGATTAACTAGATTAAAACATGAAGCGCAGTTGCATAGACATAGTACTTTTATTAACTGCTTAGTGTTTAAACAATTTTTCCGTATCATTCCAGCGAAAGCAAGCGATGACAAATTTATATATCAAGGCGACATTTTAATGAGTGTTAATAGTTTCCAACCTCCTGATCAGCAGACGAGAAAAAAGAGAGCTGTTATTGCTTTTGAATACTTTCGTTGGAACGTTGATCAAGGTGTTCCTTATAAACTACACGAATCCTTAGATGGTGAGTTCCTTTTCAATCAATGCAACCCTATCACAACGTTGAGTACCTCCAAAACGAACAAACTAAAATAATACTCTATCGCAGCGGAAATCAAACTGCATGACGTACGGATCAAGTCATGTTGATTCGATTAGGAGTCCTGCAAGTTCGATTTCCACCACAAACAATTTTGAGCTCACCAACCCAACCTGGTGCCCCAGGCTGGTGAGTCACTCCAGGGGCGCCGGAGCCACGGGGGCAGCGGGGGCAACTGCCCCCGTTGCCGAAACAGTGCGGGGGCGGCACGGGGGCAACAGGTTGCCCTTTTCACCAGAACTGCGCTTCGAAATCTGTGCGTTATTCACATGAATTGGAATTTATAACTATTTTTAAGCAATGTTTAAGCAATCTTTGCTTAATTTTAACCAGTTATAGTAAAATTAATGCCAGAGGCCGCGGAATAACTTTTGTATAATTATGAATTTATGATTCAAAATCAAACGAGTTTTATGTCGTTCACGAGCCGAACGAAAATGTTTTGAAAATACGGAGTCCCTATAACATCGGAAATGACCTTTACAGAGTCTTTACTACAGCAAAAAGGGCACTTTCTTTCTAGCCCCCAAAAGGGCATTTTTCACTTTTAAAAAAGTGGGGAGGCACATGCTTCCATTGCCCCCGGTTCCGCGGCCCCTGATTAATGCTAAATCAGGCAATATACGTCCGTTTACTGATTTTATTTTGCGCCCTTAACATGGTGCAACAAATAAAATTGCTCAAAATTAATGTCGAAGTTTGCCGACCCACAATAGCCGCAAGTAAACGGGTATCCATACAATAAAGTTTTAACAAATATTGCCGCCCAGAAAAATTATGAGCAGGGGTGGTAACGTGATGTTACACTTACATATAGAGGCATGTTACATATAGGGGTATGTTATATATAGGGGCAAACATAATGACGCAATGTTTAATTAAGTGACGTAATATTTTCACGTTAATTCCAGTACGAGTCATGTTACATATAGGGTCTATAGGGGCAGGGTTAAAAACCTTATGTTACATATAGGGGCACGCGTAGATCGCATGTGCCCTTTTGAAATGGCTGCCCCCGCCGCTTCACATTGCTTCCGGCGCCCCTGAGTCACTCCAAGTAGCGTCATCTAGAATGTAATTATTTTACCTAATTCCGATCCACAATCATTCGACGTGCAACTTTATTTTTTATCTCAGAGAAATTCTAAAGATATTGAACAATAAAATGGAACTTTGGCATTTAACAAACTATAAGGACCATCCAGTCACGAATCACGATTCAATGAATTACGAAATTACTCAGCCAATGTATTTATACCTGTTTTTCAGTATACTCAGTGTTGTCAGTGTTTTATATTCCGACGTAATGGACATACTATAGCCAGATCTACTAGAATGTTATAAGAGCAACCTAAAAGTGCACCTAACCTCAATTGGTCTAACATCTCATTCCCAAGAACCTTTGAAATGATCTTGTAACTTATTTTGAAGATTTTCGTTTGCACACTTTGTCTCGGCCGAGTTATTTCAGTTTATTGATATGCAAATGTCCGCAATTTGCGTCACATACGAATAATGACTGATCATGCAAGAATGCAAGGTACAGTTAAATAACTATACTTAATTGATGATTGAGTCGGTTTTCTTTGATGTATAGACTTGCTCCAAGTCTCTCTTTCATTGTCATATAGTATCGATCCACTATAGTGTACATTACATGACGTAGCACGGAGAGAGAAAGAGAGACTTGTCAACTTCGGAAAATCTCGGTTCAAAACTGAACCGAAAATGCAAGACTTGCTTTAATTGTTTTCTGTCAGTGTTTATATGTATTGATCTAGCACAGTGTAAATAACATGAGTTCCATTATAGTAAATAATACAGAAAGAAATTGAAGGAAAACAATTAAAGCAAGTCTTGCATTTTCGGTTCAGTTTTGAACCGAGATTTTCCGAAGTTGACAAGTCTCTCTTTCTCGCTCCGCCCCTCCGTGCTACGTCATGTAATGTACACTATAGTGGATCGAAATGACAGTGAAAGAGAGACTTGGAGCAAATGGAGCGAACCTGCCGCCCTATACGATTCCGGTGCAGCGCTCTAACCAACTGAGCTACAGAGGCCAGTTGTCGAGCTCTAACCACAAGTTTATGTATATATGTAGGGTACTGCCATATATAGGTTATGGGTAAATATCAACTGAAGATTTTGTTGGCATCTCACGAAATGTTGTAAAATACGGAAAATACAGCCTTGCGAAGTTTGCATATTTTGTATATGTTTGTATTACGTGCGGAAATTGTTACCATTTTTGAGCCGAAAATCGGGTAACAATTTCCGCACGTAATACAAACATATACAAAATTTGCAAACTTTGCAAGGCTATATTTTCCAAGCTTTATATCATTTCGCAACCAAATTTTGCAATTTTACTAATTTCATTATGTTCTTTTTAGCTGTGGTGTTTGATTCCCTTCTCTTCACTTAGATTAAAATTTAGTCTAAAAGCTGATTTCCACTGTTGCGTTTTTCATACGTACGTATACGCACGTAAAACTTTAAATTCGTTTAAATGTTACTTATGAAATAACCAAATAAATAAAGCAACAGAATTTAGTGTTCCGCAAGTTTTAGTATGCATTTGTTAACTTATTTGTAAAATATTTAAAAAATAGAAGGATTCAAAGTTTTACGTGCGTGTATACGTGCGTACGAAAAACGCAACAGTGGAAATCAGCCGTAACATGCAAGTTGTCCAAAAGAGAATACTAAAGACGAGAGAGGGTCCAGTTTTTTCCACGTCTAGTGGTAATCATTCATCTTTTACTGTAGTGTTTAATCAGTTTTGAACAATGTCACGTTTTCCCTGCCACACATATCCCGACGCCAGCAGTGACTAAAACCATGCCAATATACGTATCTATAACAAAGAGAACGAAATCTCACAGCTTGGCAACAAGTTGTGTTCGCACTGCACTGGGGAAAAAATGTGAAAACCATACTTTGAAATTTATACAATTGCACCACTAAATCCATAGTATTATTAGTATATCCATACTATTTCGATACTATATCCATATAGTATGGAAATATACAATTATTATGGATAATCAGAATCCATGCTATTTCCAATAAAGGTCCATACAATTTCCACTCTATGACCTTCTATGGATTTTCAAATTTTTTTCCAGTGCTGCTTGTTCCCAGTTGTTGACAAGTCTGAAAACAAGGTTGATGAGGCCAACAGACTCGCAACAAGTTGATCCAACAAGTCTGATGCATAGATATCTTATATAGACTAGATAGCGCATCTCTTTCAGTAAAATTGAAGCCAAGAATATTCCAGCGGTTATCCCCATTTGAATAGATGGTGCGGCCATATTGGTGTTTCCCACTCGCTAATAAACGCTTAAAAAACAACAATAACTTTCATCATTTGAATAGTTTAAAAATGTATTTGGAATAGGTTTAACTTAATGTTTAAGTTCCTTGTTTAAGAAATAGAAAACATACGAATCCTCTCATTTCATGGGAATATCCTGAGTCTGCAATCACGGCTTCAATTTTTGAATTGTAGAATAATTAGATGCACTATCTAGTGTATATAAGATAGCTATGGTCTGATGTCGTCTGCACGTAACAAGTTGTTAACAAGTTTATTATTAGCATGACAAAATTACTGGATGCTGATTGGTTGAGAGGAGTACAATTATTTCATTAATTGTACTGCAGTACAATTAATGATTTTCCCAAAACAAACAAAATGGCGGAAACGTATTTTAAACTCGAGCGTGAAATGAAATTGCCGTGGAGGAACTAGATGAAAATACGAACAAAATCACCAAATTTTGCTTTAACAAAAGAACTAAATGAAAATACAAACAAAAGCACCAAATTTTGGTTGAAAGTCTGGCGGGACTGGGCTTTGGCGAGAGAATATGATGCTGACATTGAGAAGTACGTATCCAATTTTGTCATGCTAATAATAAACAAGTAATCATGCGATGTTGCTCGTACAATTAGGGATTAATGGTACTCGTGATGTTTGGAAATTTGCCAAATTGGACTCGCCCCGGCGGCTCGTCCAATTTTGGCAAAATTTCCAAACATCACTCGTACTATTAATCCCTAATTGTACTCGCCATCGCATGATTACCTATACTAATGACAACAAGCTCGTAGCAACTTGTTACGGACAGCCTAGTTGTATTATTCTTGTTGGAACAACTTGTCGCAAGTCTGTTACAGTCATGAACCTTGTAACAAGATGATAATTTGTTCCAGACTTAGATCTGTAACAACGTGCGTGTTTTCACGTGACTGTATTGGACGCAACACACTTAAATAAAGGCCAAAAGGGTTGGTATTTCAGAAGAATTGTGCACAGTTAAGCATCTCAGCATAAAATCGGTCCTCATACTTAGGCTGGTTTATAAATTATACTATGAAAGTTTCTGTGACCACAGTAGGAATTTTGCATATAGGTACATTCTAAGTTTTGAAGGATCTGACTGTACGAAATGTTTGAGGAAATTCAGTCAGTTCCCTCAAATATTTCTTACAAATCCTTTTACCGATGTAAAATTCCTACTGTGATTACAGAAACTTTCATAGTGTAGCCGGACCAGGGTGTTAGCTAGCCCATATACTGTCCGTTTGACGAACTCTTCACAATTGAAGTAGCTAGCTAAGGGGCTTTCCCAACTGGGTCTATCATTTTTTCTGACGAGAAAGTGCATTGTGTTTGATTTTATATTAGGCCAAAAAAAAAAAAATGTGGGTTTCCGGTTTCTTCTTATAAAAACTTAGGTAGGGTAGGTCGGTTTCAACTTTTTTTTTTAAACTTTTTTTTTAATTTTCCGAATAAGCGGACGCCATTTTGTTTAGTCAGTGCTTCCACATCCAAAGATAAATTTCCCTAATATTTCCTCAAATTTCAATTTTCCACAAACTTTTTCCTCTAAGTGGAAACACTTACAAGCATGATCCAATAAAAAAGTTCAGGGTCGAGTTCAGTGGTCGGGATTTCGACGTCCAAAAGATAGGTAGGGTCGGGAAACCGGAAACCCACATATTTTTTTTTGGCCTTATTATATCAAAGAACGTTTTATTTTTTGGCCTTATTATTTACAAAGAACTTTTTCCCATTAACTATTTTCTCAAAATGTATCGCGTTTCATTCATATTGGGTGTGTATTCACTGAAATGAAATGTACAAAACAAAGTGTAATCGTGTGTATCCGTGTGTATCCGTGTTCATTCACCGGAAATGAAATATGCAAAACGAAGTGCCATCGGGTGTATTTTTCAGTGTTCATTCACCGGAAATGAAATGTACAAAACCAAGCTACCGTTGTTTGCATCTAAGGAGAAACACGTTGGAAAAAAACACTATTTATTCCTACACAGGGATATCGGTCAAAAAAACTTTCCCAATTTACGTTTAACTTTCCCAATTTTTTTTCTGGCTAACACCCTGTAGACGGACTTACCCTTGTTTTCTATACTTTCTCCCAGCAAAGTGCCAGCCAACACCGTGAATACAAATGTAAGAGAATTTGTTATAGGCACTGCCAATGATAATTCTGTCATAAAAAATTAAAACCTGATTATGGATTAACAATAGTCAACCTGAGTTGCTCAAACGGTCCGCCAAAACTTGCTCAAAAGATCACTACCCCCCCCCCCCAATGTTAATGACATCTCAACGTCCCTGTCAGGTGGTCTGATAAGTGCCCACAGGTTGAGCCACATCCTTTGTAATTCAGCTTTAGCTGTCAGTGAAATCGTCTGGCATTGGACAGAATAAAACACTTGTGTGAAAAACCAAGTGTAAAAGTAAAAATAGGTACGCATAGGCGTACATTCTTGAGAACAAAGTGTATGCAAAACATTGCATGCATGTGCTTGAATGTTACAATTTGCAATCTAATCGGCAATGAGCGCATTTGTCAGTAGTTCACAAAAACACAATTTCTGACCTGCTGATGATAATGTGATGTAAAATACAACAGAGCCAAGTTGGTTGATGAAAAATGGCAGAAGATACTAAAGAAAGCAAATCATATACCACTATAAGTAACAACCAAAAACTATTTTAAAGAATTCATATGTCACGAAATTTCCAGTTTCCCAACATCAACATGATACTAAAATTTGGTTTTGGATACCAAACTGTGAACGACTAATTGTATTCCGACTGAAAATTACAAAATCTGTTGTTATAATTGTAATTTATAACAATGAGAGACATGTACTGTATATATTCATTTCACATTGGCAAGTTTATGTTTTTATATCATCATTGCATGTTGCCAACATGCTTTGATGAACTGTTTACAACAAACAATCAAATACATGGTTATAACACCAGATCTGCTGGTAACTATAGATCTCATGCTTGTCAAACTAATATTAAACAGTTCACCATTTTATACTCAGGACCGAATATTTGGAATTCTTTACCTACAAATATAACTGTTATAAACACAATCTCTTCTTTCAAGATGCAGCTTCGAAATTTTTTGCTTAACGAATAACGAAGTTAAACAGCTAGCTCTGATATGCTATGACCATGTTTATCGAATATTGAGTAAGAATATATAAAATTATATTATTGGAAAATCTATTATACAATTTCGTAAATTTTCTCTCTTAACTTCATTATGTTTCAATTTCATTATATATGTCTGTAACTTAATTTCAATTTCATTATATATGTCTGTAACTGAAACTATATTATACTAATAAATTAAATATGTAACTTTGAATTTTGAGATGGGGTACGTGGCAATTCACACAAGCTCTAAGCTTCTTGAGGTCTCCTTGCCGACTTTATTTTATTATAATATCTTGTAAATAGCAAATTTGGCAAATAAACCAATAATAGCAGTAATAGCAGTATACTCACTTTCATGGTTCATGGATGCTAAAATTTATGGTAACTATAGGATCCCTCAGATGGAATACTAGAACTTTGAATCCTGCTACTGAAAAAATATATTTCAGACCCCTGCATTATGTTTTACTTACTTTCCAGTTGGTAAAAAGGAACTTTAATTCGGCTAAAAACTGGCTCACATAATTTTCTTTTTTGATCGACTCAATGCCACTTCCCGCTCGCTTGATAAAAGGATTTGTGAAGCCCCAGAGAAAAGCGACTACACACAGCCACACTGCATTCACTGATAAGAAGTTAAAGAAAAAGTGATGTCACCAGTAGCTCATGTTGAACAAAGACTGAAATTGTATCAATTAGCAGCACACAATTTTATAATTACCAAATTGGTCAGGAAGATTTGATAACATGATATGATGATTGATTGAAGCCAACCGGTCTCTGGCAGAGGTAAATTGAAAATGATTTTAGAACTAGTATTTAGTACTAAGTAGTATAAACAAGCTTTCATTGGTAGGGATGCAAACAACCTGAAAAATATAAGGGGAATTTCGACGTTTCGAGTGCACGCCCTTCGTCTGGAGTTATTTATACTCGTATGTTTTCCCAATCAAGACATGTTTGCATGCACATTTGTTGTCACACAATTATCCATGCATGCAGATTTTTGGAAAACTTGCAAGTCTATAGTTATTGGTGTTCTGATAGTGGGTTGTATAATCCAAAGGTTAAATCAAGTATGTGAATGCATATATTGGCCGGTACGTGGCAACTAGCTGGTATTAGTATGTGTTAGTTGACAACAATAACAACATGATCGGGAACATTTAGAACAATACAATTACAACAACAACATCAACGTAAACATTGACAACAACAATACAGTAACATCAACCAAATAAACATTGGCAACAACAACAATACATTAGCAACAGCAACATGATAATTGACAACAACAACAGCAGAGTAACATCAGCAACAACAACATGATCATTGACAACAACAACAATACAGTAGCAACAGCAACATGCAGCAACAACATAAACATTGGCAACAACAACAATACAGTGGCAACAGCAACAACAACATGATAATTGACAACAACAACAACAATAATACAGTCACATCAACAGCAACAATAACATGAACATTGACAACAACAACACTACAATGTTCATCAACAACAACAATATGCAAACAACATGAACATTAACAACAACATTGCAACAATACAGTAACAACAGCAACAACATCACCAACAACAACATGAACATTGTCAACAACAACAGAGGCCCACCAAGGGGTTATGACGGACAGGCAACATTCCTTAAAAAGAGGCGACAGACTATCTAAAAAAGAGAGACAAACGACAGCTTCTGACTGGTAAAAAGCAACAAATTGCGATTTGTGTATGGGTCAAAAGTGACAGCGACATTTATTACAATAAAACGCGACAAAGCAGCTACAAAATGAGTGACAAGCGACCTGGGTTACACCCTTGGTGGGCCTCACAACAATATAACAACAACAACAACAGAAAAAGCAACTACAACATCAACATCAACACCAACAACATGAACATTGACAACAACATCAACAACTATTATAAACAACGACAACAAATTATATGGTAAACAAACACCATCCCCTTAGCTGTAATGTAAATAATTTCCTATAAAAAAATAATCACACAAGTAACAACAGCTAGAATTAAAACTTCCAACACATACTCTTTATTACAAGATCAGACCATCTTACAGTAATATCAGTTATTTTCCAAGAAATAATTAAAAATCGCGCCAACAAAATTCTCAAAATTTCAAATAAAACTCTAATTTTTTAATGTCGCGCCAGACCCCTTGGCCTTGTGCACGGCCGTGAGCATTCCAAAACATTGGGCTTTCAATCTGTATAATTTTTTAAAAATTTATCTTTTAAAATGACGTTTTTTCACGTTTATTTTGCTTTTATCTTGCTGGAAATATCTGTGTTTGTGTCTGGTAAGTTGTTTCAAGTTTTCAAATTCAAAATTAGAAATATTTCTGACATATTTTATCGTAGTTGATATAAATATAAATCAAGGTCACAAATTCGTTTTAAAAGAATTAAAACGTACTCGACTAATATATAGACCACTTGTCTTGTTGCGTTTTTTTTGGAATGCAAAATGATGTTAAGTCGCCCAGGATAACGTATGTTATGTATTAATGATATCTGTGCGAGTCTGAATATTATATAGACTACATCAAAAATGTCAACAAGGCGAGGGGTCATTTTAATAATTAATAAAGAAGTCAATAAAATCGTTCATATATTTATCACATATTTACTGAGACCGAGGGAAACAGTGTGTTTTGTGTCTCAGTAAATAAGTGTTTTGTTATATAGTATAGAAGTGTCAAAGTATGAATAATTCACCGGTTATTGGAGTGAGCTTAATTTGAAACCAAAACTGGATAAAAGGAATCCCGTAAATGTTTAGTAAAAGTTTAAAAAATGAACTTTGGGACTTGATGGTTGACACGCATGCGTATTGCACCCATTTTATTATTGACCGGTCAATAAATGTTTCATTGTGGACTGATTGCAGAACATGACGTTTTGTGGATATAAAATATACTATATAACAAATATGTAGCTTCTCGTTTTACCTCAAGAAACCAGAACAGTCTGTTTCATCCATATATATGATTCCTATACGGATGAAACGGACTGTTGTGGTTTTTTGAGGTAGAACGAAAAACTATATTACACTCTATCTATATGGTATTGAGCACTGTTTGTGTTTCGTAAACCAAAAACTTAAGCTAACAAATATATACATATATATATATATATATATATATATATATATATATATATATATATATATATATATATATATATATATATATATATATATATATATATGAGCTGTCGTTGTTTCCAAAGCCAGAGTTGTTTTCACAACGTTTCCAAGCTGTGACTGTCGACGAAAATGGAACAGAGACAGGGGGCTGGCAGAATTCCCTGCCAAAACCAGTGATGCCCTGCCAAAAAGTACAAAAAAATTTTCCGGAAAAATTATTTTGGCGACCTCCCCGATCGAATATTGCCGCCCGGTACGCCTATGTGCTATCATTTATTTATAAGAGACCTTTGATTGCCCTGCCAATCGGGACGATTCGTATTTTGGGGGGTGTAACACCCCCCACACCCCCCCCCCCTAAGTTTCGCCCCTGATTAAACAACAGGAATTCACATCAGTCATTGGGAAGTGTTCTAGTTACCGTAGCTACTCAATGTCAGGGCCGTAGCAACCGGGGGGGCTGGGGGGCTGCAGCCCCCACAATAATTTGCTAATAATCATTCTTTTTTCAAAATCATGCAAACTTTATCATTTAATCTGTGACAAACTGCAAAGATCGTTCCTCGCGTAGAAATTTTAGCTGAATTTCTGTCGCGCATTTTCAAGAAAATCCCACAAAATCTGCACATCATTCCAGGTGAAGAAGAAGAGTCATCAGTGACGATGGAACTTGACGAAGACATGATCACAGCAGCAATTGAAACTAAAAATGATACGTATCATTTGGAGGTATAAAATTCTGCAAGGTTTAAAATAAATCATTTTAATTTAGACATATTTGTAGGCTATATGTTTGCGATGTTACTGGCGAGCTTGAAAAGTATGCCCGGCCACGGTGGGATTCGAACCTACGACCTTTGGAATACTAGCCCAATGCTCTTCCAACTGAGCTACGCGGTCAGGATGGTTCGAGTAAGTGATATTTCGGAACAGTATCTAGTTCCTTCTATACCAATGTGTTAATTCTTACTAATATGAATTTTTCTGTGTTGGTGTTGTGTACTCAGGTGAATAATATGTTTGGGCTAGTATTCCAAAGGTCGTAGGTTCGAATCCCACCGTGGCCGGGCATACTTTTCAAGCTCGCCCGGTGTGGATATGCACTCAGAGTAACATCGCAAACATATTATTCACCTGAGTACACAACACCAACACAGAAAAAAATATTTGTAGGCTGTTTGGTCCAAAAGCTTCAAAATCCTTCAACTTAAATAAAGTTAGTTATGTACTATTTAAAACATGAGCAGCTCAGTGTTTTATCAGATATAAAGATACGAGGCGAAGCCGAGTATCTTTAGGTCTGATAAAACACAGACTGCAAATGTTTTAAATTGCTTCAAAGACGATCGATCTAGTAGGTTCATCGGCAAAGTAATTTTCAAAAAATATGTTGTGTAAGTCGAGAAAATCAAAGTTAAAGTTTATGTAAATTAGGGAAATCTCTATCACATATATATAGAGAATATTATGCGGCGGCACGAAGATATGACTTTTATCTTTGAGTGGTGAAAACAATATTTTACGAACGAGTGCAATATTATATAGTCCCAAGCAAAAAATTGTGAAATTTCACGCTCAAAAGCAAATTGGAAAAGTCACATGATCGATATCTTCACTAGTGAAGATATGGACATAGGCGTCAAAAGATCGATAGGTGGGGGGGGGACCATATTCATATATTCGTGTTCTGCATTATTAATTTCTTTTGAAATTGATTGTTTTTAAGGTCTGTGAACACGAATATATGAATATGGTCCCCCCACTTATCGATCTTTTGATGCCTATGGATATGGAAAATATCTCGCTATGTATTTTTCAGTATCTCACTCTCTACTATATAATAAATAAAAATACGACATGCTTATGATTTTTCTTTGTGTTTTCCTCATGAATTATTAATAAGTTTTTGAATATATCTTACAATGGTTGATAAAATTACTATCCAGTGGATAGTGGTATCCGCTGTACAAACGCGGCCCCTGTAATACAACCAAATAATCAAATGTGTTAATTTACGTAGCCTTCATCAGGACACATTGATGGTGATACTAAGAAGAAGATGATTGCATATCGAGATTCAGATGTTATTTGGAATGTCACATTTGCTGGGTAATGCACAAAACATTTATCATTTTTATGTTATTCGAACAAAGCTTGCCGACGTTTAGGTGTACATGAATTCAACTTCTTATTATACAATTACTTGATGGTTTCCGTGTTTGCATGGCCTGATCCAAACACGCGGGAATGTTGCGAGAGTTAAGAAAAGCGCGCGAAACACGAGCCGAAGGCGAGTGATTTTGCGCGCTTTTCTTACCTCGAGCAACATTCCCAAGTGTTTGGATCAGGCCATCCAAACACGGAAACCATAAAGTAATTGCTTTATAAAATAACAGCAACACGATAGTCTTCCGTGTTTGGATGGCCTGATCCAAACACGGGTTTCGACCAATCAGAGCACGCGTTATATACATGTTATTTTATAATACATTTTACTAGAAATCACACACAACAGGAACGGTATTGCAGAACTGTAGATGCTGGTAACAGATCTGAAACACACCATGCACCAGGTATGAATCAATACGCTTGTAATATTTAGCTTATATTTAATAACTGGATACATTTTTGGGAATACTACACTGGACACCACATTTGAGATATATTTCTGGTAGTTCAGACTTCAGACACAAAACCACAACAGCTTATTGAAGAATACTACCTACACTAGACCACCATGTTTGAGATATCTTTTTCAGGTAGTTCAGACATAAACCATGAAACCATGGCAGCTTATTATAGAATACTACCTACACTGGACCACCACGTTTGAGATATCTTTTTCAGGTAGTTCAGACACAAACCACGACAGTTTATTGTAGAATACTACCTACACTGGACCACCACGTTTGAGATATATTTTTGAGGTAGTTCAGACACAAACCACGACAGTTTATTGTAGAATACTACCAACACTGGACCACCACGTTTGAGATATCTTTTTCAGGTAGTTCAGACACAAACCACGGCAGCTTATTGTAGAATACTACCTACACTGAACCATCACGTTTGAGATATCTTTTTCAGGTAGTTCAGACACAAACCACAACAGCTTATTGTAGAATACTACCTACACTGACCACCAGTTTGAGATATCTTTTATATATATATATATAT